ATACCTTGTCGGCAATATGATTGTCCGGTTCGGGGCCCTGCGCACGATGGTCCCCTCGGTCCAGCGCCTGGCCACTTACAAGGCCAACCTGCCGACGAATCCGATCATGCGAGGCTTCGTCCTGGAGGTGGAGTGCATTTCCATGTCCCTGCCGGACTTCGAGGCGGCCACCTCGGACTCGGTGCAGCGGTATTTGCACGAGTTCGCCGAAATGCTGGTCAATGGGACCTTCCCCTCGAGCGACCCGACCTTCATAGCCCCGACGGCGATTGCTCTGGGGCCTTTTGAGCCGGCCGGAGCCCCGGTCACTCCGATGGCCCGGTGGGCCCCGCCTGTGGTCCCGCACCAGCGTCCCGCCGCCCCGGTGCTTGGAGTGCAGCCGCGCTTCTGGCAACGCTCGACTGGGGCCGGGGCCCAGGAGGTTGAGGACTTTGCTCGCCAGCCCCTTTGCTCGGATGTCTTCGCCTCGCAACAGTATATCGCCGCCATCAGCCGGTGCTGCCTGCTGGGAGGTGTGCCATGAGTGCGAGACAGGCCGGCCACCCAATACACCCCCCCCCCCGCTCTTTGGGCGCCACCAGGACAAAAGAAGCCAAGTGCAGAGGGCAGGGGGCCGGGGCAGGACGGTGACATCGACCGGCACATACGCGAGCCGTGGTCGTGTGCACTGCAGTGCGCTTTGGGCTTGGCTTTTGGGTTTTATTGCTCTGACATCTCGCCGGGGGCCGGCTAGAGCTCATTCTTGATGTGCCGCTTCGTGTCGGCTAGGCAGCTCATGACAAAGGATATCTCCTCCAGTGGCCGGCGTGTGACGACGATGGCCTTTAGCGCGTGAAAGCCCCAGGCCTGGGATCCGGGCTCGGGGTTCTCCAAGGGCCCGGTCTTCCCGATCAGCTGGACCACGTCACCTGGTTGGTTGTGTTGGAGTTGTTGGTTGATATTTCCCCCCCCCCCCCCCCCGCATGCGCGTGCGCACCGACGGAGCGCGGTGTCGGAAGAGGCCGGCTTGTTAGAATGGGGCAGGGCAGGAGGGGAGGCGTAGCCAGCTGCTTCAGGACATGGGAGGAGGGGGGGGGGACACGCACCGACCTGCAGCCGGCCCAATACACCGAGAAGTAAGTCACCCGACTGGGCCGGGCGCGCCAGGATGCAAGCTGTCCCATCGTCCAGGACCAGGGACGTGGCGCTGGGCTTGGCCACAACGTCTCCCTGGATCCAGAAGTGGGTATTACCTGCCGCACCGGGGGAGGGGGGCCGGCGGCCGGCCTGGCTCAGGCCTGGCGACGCCGCCGGCAGGGCCGACCCAGATTCTGTCAGAGCGGCTGAGATGAAGAGCTTTTTGATGACGGCCGGGGCCGGGGGGGAACTCGCCGGGCTGGCCATCGCGAGTGGTATATCCGCAGGAGCCGGTGCGTGTGTCCTCCAGGGGGAAGGGGCAGATGGCGAGGGGGAGAGCGCGCGACGAGGGGCAGATGGCGAGGCGAGGGAAGAAGAGGATGCTGCTATGCGAGCGCAGGCAGGCGGCGGCGGCGGCGGCGGCGAGCTGGCACAATAGTTGCCCTTCATTGACCGTATGGCCGGTGTCCGCCCCCCCAGCGCCCACCCCCCCCCCCCCCCCCTCCCCCCGGAGAGGCCGCAGTGGGTGGCGCGCCCGGGGCTCCCCCTCCTCCCCGCCGGACGGGCCGCCCCTCTTTCCCGCGACAAGCCCGGGCCTCCAGCCCCGATCGGCAGCGAATCGCGCACATACTGCCAACGCAAGGGGTGTGCTCTGGCGGCGTCTCTTCATCTGGGTGTGGTGCGGCTCTGTGGGGCCCGGGGCCCGCCCCGGCATCAGACAATCCACCCACCAGTGTCAAATCCCTCTCCTCCCTCTCTTTCGCTCCCTCTCCTCCCTTTCGTTTGCTCCCTCTCCACACACACCCCCCCTCTGTCCGCCTGTCTGCGCAAAAAAAAGGAAGAAAGATCAACAATGAGCTCCCAGCAAGCGCCCCCCCGGTCGACGCCGGCCGACAAGCGTGCCCCCCAGGGCCCGCCTCCTGACCCCCGGATCCGGCGGACCGAGCAGATCCGTGAGCTGAATGAGGTGGTCCGGGACCAGCGCGCCTTCGAGCTGCTGCAGTCGACCGCCGAGCTTGAGCGCCAGACCAAGGCTCTGATGGAGCTCTGTTCGCATACCATTGGCAACGTCCAGTCGCAGATGCACGCGGTGCGGATGTGCCCTTCTCCTTGCGCCTCTCTCCTCCCCCCGCCTTGGCCATGGCGACTGTGGCTTTCTAACACGCGCCTGCCACATGTCTTCCCCTCGTGCGCCAGATGTCCGGCATCACTCTGCAGGCGGTGGAGATCTTGGCCTCGGCCGCCGAGAAGGCCAATGCCCAAACCACCAAGGCCATTGACGAGGCGCACGAATTCTTGCTTACCGCTGACCAGATCTCCGCCAGCATGGAGCCGGTCATCCAGCTGGCCGAGCAAATGTGCGTCTCCCCTCCGATCTCTCTCTCTCTCTCTCTCTCTCACTGATGCGGACCCGCTTGTATGCATTCATATCCCCCCCCCTCCCCCTCCTGCTCACACGCACTCTCACACCTCTGTCCCCTTCCCTTCGCCCCGTGTTTGTCTCGCTCTCTGGCCCATAGTAAGGACGTCCGGCGGACTCTCACCGTCTTGGAGGCTGCCTGCGAGTAGACGCGCATCTCAGGCCATCTCTTTCTCCATGTATCACGGTCAGTCGGAGGCCGACTGACCGGCGCAAGGGGAAGGGGTCTCCCAAGGTGTTGTTTCCTCTGGGCAAGCTCGCGGCCCTGCAGCCATCCCTCTCAGCGGCCTCATGCCGCACACGCCCGAATGTATGCCACTAAATCGCCAAATATCCAGAGAGTCATGCGCGCGGCGGATGGCGACACAAGCGCCAAGAGGCAGGGGAGGAGCGGAACAAGCAGGGGACCCTGGGCATTTGAATGATACATCGCCGCCCCCTCCGCGGGGGTTGCTCTGCTGCTTCCCCCGCTGCTGATGGTGAGTTGATGTTGTTGTTTTTGCCGCCCAAGTAGCCCCAAGATACAGAGGAGAACCCTCAGCGGGGGGGAGGGGGGGAATTGCACGAAGGAGAGCCCGCCCTTGCATTGCAATCTCTCAAAAGCGCGGCGGCTGTTTGGGCGGCGGGGGCGGCGCGGGAGACGGGTTTCGCGGAGCGCTGGTGCCGATCACATTGTGTTCACGTGAGAGTCAACACAGGTCCAATCACGCTTCCTGTTCCGGTGAAACCGATCCCACCCGGGTCTTGTAACTTCGCCCATTTGACCGGGAAGAGGCACGCAAAAGCGCACCCAGGCTGCGGGTGAAATTCAGGGGCCTGTTTCGAGCCCCCTACTGTGTCCTGGGGGGGGGTGCCATCCACGCGTCCAGCCCGGCCCTGGCCTGGGAGAAGTTCGGCGCTTGGCGCGCCAGGCCGAGTGTGGGGAATCCCGGGGGGAGGGAGGACGGGGGAAGGGGGGACCGGGGGGACGGTCCGTCGATCGTGTGGCGACCGAAGGGCTGTTTGTCATGCAGCACAGAGTGGCAGAGCAGCGTCTTCTTCCTAGTCGTGTGGAGTCAAGAAGAAGAAGCAAGCCCCCCCCCCCCCCCCCCCCCCCCCCCGCCCCTCGCCCCCGCTGAGACCGGGGCGTCTCGGTGGCTTCACGAGCGGCCGATGCGCAGCTGAACATTCGCTCCGAAAGTCAACGTCGTTGAAAATCTCCCGCCGATCGGTGGGCCCAGTTCCCAGCCATCGTAGCTTGTGTTTCCAGCTCGGGTGAAAGAAGGAGAGAGAACCGGAGGGGATGGCTAGGGGCCCCCATCGGAGGGGCGGGGGGGGTATGTATGGCTCAACTTACCTTGCCACCACGGGTGAGGTGCCTGTGTGTGTGTGTTGGCCAGCGCGATCTTCGAGGGAAGAGAAGACATCCCGGACAGTGAGGAGTACGGGGGGCTCTTGCTGGGGCCTGTTGCGGAGCTGGTCCGAGGAGGGGGTGTGTGCCCTATCCCCCCCCCCCCCCCCCCCCCGCCCCCTCCCTCCTCCTCGTCCTCTGCGCACGCACGCGGGGGACAGACACATGCTGCGGCCCCTTTTCCAAGGGAGCAAACAGGCTTGATCGAGAGAGAGAGAGAGAGAGAGAGAGAGAGAGGTCTGGACACAGGACGCTGCGGGCCGCCGCGAGGGGGGGGGCAGAGGGAAGGGCAGGGGAGGGGGGTCTGCCCCCTTTGTCCGGGGGGGGGGGAAGCCCGGGGGCAGATATAAAAAGGGGTGGCCTGCTAGCGAGCCTGATGTGCCGCCTCCAGAAACCATCCTACTGATTACGTCCATCGCAAGATTAAAAAGAAACCGATATCCTTCACGCTCCCGTGAACTTTTTTATTTTACACCGTATGCCCACGACGCCATCTTTCCTGCCCCTCCCCCGCCGCCCTCCTCCAGCCCGCAGTTCGCGCGCGTACCACTTGAATAATTGAGAACTCCCCCCCCCCTTCCCCCTCCCCGGGGCTCACCTCATGTCCTCTTTACTCGCATGCCGTCCTCCTTTCCTCATTCATGCGCCATTCCTCCCCCTGATGCATTTGCTTACTCACATACCCGCCCCTTCTCTGCCTCGCCACTGGCGCATGCTCTTCTGTGTTCTCCTCCCCCCCCTTCTCCTCCTCCTCGACCTCTCCGCGCTCTGTGTGGGCTGGGGGGCCACCGAGTATAGCTCCGGAAAAAACACCCCCCCCCCCCATCCCCGTGTACCTCAATTCCCCCGCCCCCCCTCCATAACCACCACCATGTCGTCAAGCAGACCCAACCAGCAGCCGGAGAAGCTGATCGACTTCGCCAAGATCGACCGTGATCTGGCTCAATCGGCCGACCAGGCGTCCCGGTCGGCGGCGGCCGCGGCGCAGCATGCCCTCACGGCCTCGGAGTTCGCCCGGCGCTCGGTCATTGATGCCAGCGACCCGGCCAGTCGCGAGGTGTCGCGCTCGGCTCAGCAGGCGGCCAATGCCGCGCGCAATGCCGCCGAAGCGGCCGCCATCAATGCCAAGAACGCCCAGCAGGTGGCCATGAGCGCCTCGCCACCGGGCTCCCCCCGGTCGCCGACCGCCTCTTCCGGCCCCTTCGGTCTGGGAAATATCCTGGAGAAGGCCAAGCACGCGTTCTTCGGTGACCCGGATGCCGCCCAAATGGCCGATACCTACTCTGCTTCGGGCGCCTCTCCCCGCGGAAGCACCGGCGGCCAGTCGCAGTACAACTTCCACCAGAGCGAGACCTCGCTCGTGGACCAGTGGCCACGTCCCGGCATCGAGGGGCTGATGCAGCGCCAGGGCCAGATTGCTCGGGAGAACAGCCAGCTGGCTGGTTCCCCGCCGGAGGCCTACGTCAACCTGTCAGACACCAATGCCTTCATGGAGTCACTGCGGGCTCGCCGTCAGGCGGTGCAGCAGGTGGCCCAGGATGCCCTGGCGGCCCCCCGGTCGCAGGTCTGGGCCGATAATGCCGATCGTCTAGTGCATGAGGCTATCAGTGACTCGCAGCGCGCGGCCTCCGGCGGCAAGATGGCCGCCATCGGTGCCGACGTGTCGAACTCCATCCAGCAGAAGGCCGGTCGGATGGCCGGAGCCGTGGCCCAGGCCACCGGCGCCCAGGCCACCCCGCCCCCGATCGGCAGCGGGATCAACACCACCACGGTGTCTGGTCGCCTGCCGGGAGGTGCCTACACCTACACCTCTTCGGCCACCCCGGGCTGGACTTCGGAGAACTACAGGGCCTACCAGCAGAGCAGCGGTGCCCTGCCGGTGGGCGATGCCTTCTTCAACCGGGCGGTCCCCGGGCCGATGGTCTCCCCGCGTGGTGGTTCCACCGCCGGGAGCAGCTTCTTCCCGGCTAGCCTGAATCAGCCGGGTGTGCCGCTCATGCGCCAGAACCAGCAGATCGACTACCGGGCCAAGACCATGGGCCAGCGCTACTCGGAGGTGGAGCACTCGGCGGCCGGTGGCAAGTCCACCGTGCTGGACGAGTCCTCCACCCTTGGTACCGCTTAGAAAAATAGCAAGGGATCCCCCCTCCGACGTGCGGTGTGATTGATAGCTACGCAGGAAGGGTGCGACAGGGGGGAGGGGCATGATTGAGGACAAGAGACAGCGACCAAGAGAGAGAGGGGGCGAGAGAAGAGGCTGAGCCGAGAAGATTAGTATGTGCTCGCGTTCTCTCTCTCCTCTCTCTCTCTCTCTCTCCCCCCCCCCCCCTCTCTGCGGGAGGATCCTTGTTGTTCCTGTCCTGCTAGCCGAGGAGGCGATGTATAAGCGCGCGGGGCCCTCCTTCTTGACCTTGCGGTGGAGAAGAGTGCTTGCCCTTATTTTCGGCCTTCTCACGAGTTGACAGAGAACCAAGTACAATTTCCCTCCCTCTCCCCTCCCTCTCTCCCTCCTTGTTTCGCTCCCGCTTTCCACCCATTTTTCTCCTCCCACCCTCCCACCCGTGTCCACTCTTTGAGGTGTTGTCAAATTACCCGCATGCACTCTGGGCGCGCGTATGCGCATTGCTGTTCCACGCTCTGAACGGGAGGAGACGCTGGGACACAAGCACAAAATATCTACACGCGTGTGTCCTGCCCTGTTTCCTTTACCAGTTGCTGTATGATAAGGCAGAGAGAAAGAGTGAGAGAGGCAAGTGGGGAGGAGGGAGCAAGGCAACAGCCCGCGTGATCCCTTCGTCTCCGACATTCATCCCGGTGTCCCCCCACCCTTCCAAATTATCATGCCCTGGTGTCTCTTGCACACACATGGGGCGAGAAAGAGGAGCAGGAGGAGAGGGGATGTGTATGTGCGCATTCTCCCCCCCCCCCCCCGCCCTTTCTCTCTGTGCGTGTCCGAGAAACAGCTTTGCATGGTAAAAATAGATTGCTTCCGTTGCCCTGTGATGTCTTTGTGCGCGCATGTTCGGGGGGGGGGGGGGGG